TGGATATTCGTTGGTGTTGGGCATTGAAGAGTTAGGTATTTATTGTAGTCTTTACTGTCTGGGCTTGTTTGTACTTGTCCTTTTTGGGAAGGTTTTCCAGGTATTCAAGGGATGTGGGTACTGTGACTTAAGTTTTTGGTAACTGCAGCTGTATCTGCATTAGGAAGCACTTCAAGCCCAGTAATGCCATGGCTCTTGCAGACTCATGAAGGTACCACCTTGGTGGGTTGGATAAAAGCTAGAAGAATTATCTGGATTACAGAAAGAGTCTCTTGTTCTCTTCCCTTATTTTCTCAAACAAACAGAGTTTCTCTGTGGGCAGAACTGCCTGGAGCTGGGGGAGGGGTGATACAAGCACCCATGTGGACATCCCCAGTGGGATTGTGCTGGATCAGACCTGAAATCAGCATAGCACTGGGTCTTGCCCACAGCCCATGATAACCATGATCTGGCTATCACCTATGTTCACTCAAAGCCCTGGGGTTCTACAGTCAGCAGGTGGTGAAACCGCCAGGTTTTGTCCTTCCCTTCAGAGTGGCAAGCTTCAGTCCTATACAAGTCCACATTGGGAATCTACCTATCGCTCCCTTCCACTGTGACTGAGCTGGCACCCAAGCTACAAGACAAAGTTCTTCCTACTCTTCCGTCCTCTTTCCACAAGCAGAGCAGTCTCTCCCTGTGACCATCACTACCCGAGGCCCACAGCAAGTACTGTCTGGCTACTGCTGATGTTCATTCAAGAACCAAGCCTCTTCAGTGAGCTTGTGGTGAATGCTGCCAGGCCTCCCACTCTTTTTTTCAGCACAGTGGTCTTCCCTGTGGCCCAGGGCAGGTCCAGAAATGACATCCAATGGCCAACGCCTGATATTAGAGACCCCAGGAACCCACATGGTGCTCTACCTCACTTTGGCTAAGCTGGTGCCTGAGCTACAAGACAAGGTTCCCTTTGCCATTACCTCTGTTTTTCACAAGCAGAAAGCCCTTCCCCATAACCACGACAGCTGGGAATGTGCTGGGTCCCCCCTGAGGTCAGCATGTCTTTGAGTCTTACCCAAGGCCCATGGTAAGTGCTGCCTGGGTACTGGTACTGACTATTCAAGATCTGAGGGCTCCTCAGTCAGCAAGTGATAAATCCTGCCAGGACTGGGTCCTTCCCTTCAAAAAGTGGGTTCCTTCTGGCCCAGGCTGTGTATAGAAATGTCATCTAGGAGCTAGGGCCTGGAATGGGGGCCTAAGGACTCTGCCTGGTGCCCTGTACTACTGTGGGTCAGCTGGTATCCAAGTTGTAAAACAAAGTCTTCTTTATTTTTCCCTCTCTTCAACTCAAGCAGAAGGAAGGAGTGTCTCCCAGAGCTGTAAGCTACGCTGCCTTGGGTTGGGTTAGGGCTGGCAGAAGCACTCCCTTAGCTGTCCCAGCTAGTGTCTCACTAGGTCGCATGCCCCCTGCAGTGCACTGAAGTCACATCCAGCATAGCACCGGGACTTGCCCAGGAATTGAAGTCTTTGCCAAAAAAATCTTTGGTTTTTGAAAAATAAATGTAGGCCAGGCACAGTGGCTCACGCCTGTAATCCCAACACTTTGGGAGGCCAAGGCAGGCAGATTGCTTGAGTTCAGGAGTTCGAAACAAACCTGGGCAATATAGTAGAACCCATCTCTACAAAAAGTACAAAAATTATCTGGGCATGGTGGCGTGCGCCTGTAGTGTCAGCTACTCAGGAGGTCAAAATGAGCCTGGGAGGCGGAGTTTGCAGTGAACTGAGTTTGCAAAACTGCACTCCAGCCTGGGCAACAGGGTGAGACCCTGTCTCAAGGAAAAAAAAGAAAAAAGAAAAAAAAAATGGGTTTTTACATTAAAACAATGACATATTTTTAATATGTTTTATTCTTTAAGTCTAGATTATGACTAAGTAGATATATTACTGTATTAATTTGACTTTTTCACATGCAAAAACTATAGTTCACCCTGCCACTCCATTTTAATTTTAAAATCCAACAAGTTACACCTAAACAATTAACAAAGAAATCTAATTAAACAGCTGGTATAATAGAACTACATTTATGATTAAACTATGTAAATAATAGAATGTATTTTATTAAAACATGATTACAAATTAACTCTGAGTTTAGTTGCTACAAATGAATTTAAGATTCGTAGGCATTTGTCTTTTAAGCCAACAGTTTAATTTGCTTTGATGATTTAAAAGGTTGTTGAATGCTTGAGAACACATTCAGGATGATAAATGACCTCCACTCACATTATCTCTTTAAAATTACTCGGGAAACCCCTTATGTTATCTTGATGCCTTGTTTAGTTTTCTAAATGCAATTTTTCCACACCCTAGTTGTCACAAAATGTCTCTTAGACTGATTTGACTTAATTATGTTCCTTCAGAAATTTAAACTAAAATAAATATATCAAGAGAACAAACAGAAACCGGTACGTTCCAACAAACTTAAACAGAATTAATGATTAGTTGGTAGTAATCCCTTCATAAAGGAGTTTAGCCATTAGTTTATGTGAGGCGACAGCAGGGTTTGATCTTCCAATTCCCAAATATCAAGGTAAAGGCCTCAGAACACTGGGACCAATGATTTATAGGTATTATATTAAACTACACATAATTTACTGATATATTAAAATTATATCATATAATTAACAATTCTTTAGGATGAAAACATTAAGAGGAAATTTAGATTTTGGTTTTTAATTTCTGTTTTAAACATCAAATTATTCTAATATGTTGCTTTGAACGATTATAAAAGATCATTTATAAAACTTACGGAACCTGTTTTTACTCTTGCTATCTCATTTGAAAATTTTATTTTGCAGGCCCTCTAGTCGGCAGTTCTGACTAAATGGTCTTTTGCTTTTAATAGTTTTAAGTAGTAATTTTGATTTCTCCAGAGAGAATCTAATATGAGAGCAGTGTCAATATACATGGAAAAATAAAACGGAGTGGCCAGGCCTGGTGGCTCAAGCCTGTAATCCCAGCACTTTGGGAGGCCAAGGCTGGTGGATCAAGAGGTCAAGAGATCGAGACCATCCTGGACAACATGGTGAAACCCTGTCTCTACTAACAATAAATAAATAAATAAATAAATAAATAAATAAATAATACAAAAATTGGCTGGGCGTGGTGGCACGTACCTATAATCTCAGCTACTTGGGAGGCTGAGGCAGGAGAATCACTTGAACCAGGGAGTCGGAGGTTGCAGTTAGCTGGGATCGTACCACTGCACTCCAGTCTGGCCACAGGGTGAGACTTCATCTCAAAAACAAAAAATAAATAAATAATAATTGAAAAAATAGAAAAGAGTGTCAGTGTGTTGTTTTAGGTTAATTCTTGCTGGGTACAAAAAAAATGTTAAACTACAAGAAAAGTTGACGCTCAAGAAGATAATTCCATCTCTTTCATTTTTCAAAAATAAATGGTAAATTTTAAAAAGTTTATACTTTTAAAGTTAATATAATTCTTTTAATAATTATGTTAATAGTCAAAGAAAGCTAAATATTTCACCTGTGTTTACACAGGTAAAATAAAACTAACTTATGGAAAAAATAAGATTAGCATAAACAATGCCAGAATGCAAAATAATATATGAACAGACGTATGTTGAGAAGCAATTCCCCAGGCATCTCTAGAATTTCTGCACATCTTGTAAAGAAAGGGCATCGACAGATTTTGTACTGGATTATCATTTTAAGAATTTTTCTTGTAGCAAAACAACTTTGTACAAATCGTTTCTCTTTTCAAAGCAGAGGGCAGAATAATATCTTGACCAGCATAATAAATATAATGTTTTCTGGAGTAAAGTTTGGCAGATATGCTAACAGCCTCCTCCTAAGATTTCAAATTTTACAATCTGGGGATTCCCAGCTGTGGCACAAACCTACTGTGTGTGTGCCTTCCATTTTGGCTATTTTGCATCATAGTCCTGAAGATCATGCTTATTTGAAAAGTATATGATCTAATATTCAATGAGATCTACAGCATAGAGTGGTATAAAAAATAATTTCCGGAGACCCATGGCCTGTTGAAACTAGACCAATAATACTTCCCTAGCTCTAGCCTTAAAGTACGACATTGATTCTATGTGTATAATTATATGCCATGAAAACGTATTGAAATTTAAAATCAAACTCTCAAAACAATGATTAAGTATGGTGGACTTTCCAAAAACTGAGAAAAGGCCAGACATGGTGGCTCATACCTGTAATCCTAGCACCTTTTGAGGCAGGAGGAATTTGAGCCCAGGAGTTTGAGACCAGCCTGGGCAACATAGTGAGACATTGTCTCTACAAAAAAATTAAATAATAAAAATAGCCAGGCATGTAGTGTGCACTTGAGGTCCAGATTTAATCAGGAGGCTGAGATGGGAGGATCACTTGAGCCCAGGGGGTTGAGGCTGCGATGAACCATGATAGTGCCACTTCATTCCAGCCTAGGTGGTGGAGTGAGACCTTGTCTGGAAAAACGAAACAAAACAAAAATAGGAAAACCCATATAATTTTAATAACATCAATGAATGTGAAATCTATGAATCTAAACTTACCTATCAGAAAGAATAAAAAACTTACCTTCTGTGCACATTCTAATGCAATGGGTGAGTTCGCAGGCATCTCCAGATGTTACAAAGTCAAATTACTTAAAATCACTTCATTAGAAAAATGACTTGCAAAGTGAAGAGTAACCTTAATAAAATTAACTACTCCAGAGAGCACATTAATCAAAAAGCCACATGATGGAAAGCACTCTTAGAGGCAGGAGAAAGAGGTTTCGAGGGAAAACCACAAATCACATAATTCTGCACCACAGAAAGAAAATGCCAGAAGAACACTGTCAATGAATAAACTCTCTGTTTCTAAGTAGAGTGGAGAGAATATAACATCACTTATAGAAAATACTGAATGAGGTTGAACTTAATTTTTTTAATGTTTTTAGAATTACAGGTATTTGATAATTTTTTTAATAAGTAAAATAGTCTTATAGTATAAATTTCCACTTTTATTTCAGAGACAGAAAGAAACCTCACTCTATCCTAACAGCAAAAAGAAGCTAAAAAAGGAAAAAGTATATGTATAGTTGTTAAAGTCTATTTGAAAGCTGAAGAGAAACAGTAATCTACAAACCCGCGTTTCAGAAATCAACTAGCTTCTTCGGAAAGAGGAGACTAAGGACTGTTTCATCGCTGGTGGTAAAGTGGGAGAAGGAAGAATCCACTATGGGCAGGCATAAGGAGGAAACAATTAAAGATTTTTGAAACTTTTAATGTTTATATATAGGTTGGCATAAGAAATTAGAGTACTAGGATGCTACAGCCACAAGGTAAGTCTAAACACATGAGTCTTCACTAAGTATCGTCTGGAGATTTAAGAGATATTCCTTCTATGGAAGGCAAGGTCTTCCTATATACCAGATAGCTGGCCTTCTGGAGAAGGCTGGAGAAGCGGCGCAGAAATTTAGAGAGACATCACTCTAAGATAAGGATGTCTAACCCTCAATCTGTGAACCATACTGGTCAGTGGTCTGCTGGGAACGGGGCTGCGCAGCAGGAGGTGAGCCATGGACCAGCGAGCATCACCGCCTAAGCTCCGCCTCCCATGAGGGAGGCTTCCGCATTAGATTCTCATAGGAGTGAGAACCCCGTTGTGAACTGTGTATGCAGTGGATCTTGGTTGCACGCTCCTTATGAGAATCTAATGATAAATGTGGTGCGCTTGAATCATTACCCCCAACCTCGTGCATGGAAAAATTGTTTTCCACAAAAGCAGTCCCTGGTGCCAAAAAGATGAGGCACCACTGCTCTAAGACGTTCAGGACATTCTCCATAGACACAACAGTCCTCCCAAGGATGAGGAAGGGCCATGAGACCTCAAATAAATTTCAGTGGGGCTTTCTATATCTTCATTGCTTGCATTGCAGCAACCTCCTATACGTGAGGAAAAGATACATGACATGATCGGGCCAAAGTCCAATCTGTATACTGCATCCACACCAAAGCCACCACTGAGTTCCTGTTCTCACTCCTGAGTTTAATATTCATCACACAACTTCTAGACTATTTTTATTCTTTCAGAAAAAAATGGATTTTTATGGTCAAAATAAAAATGTTCAGACATAAGATGTTAATGATATTGAACCCTTTATAAAGATAATGCCAATATTTAAAAAGCTATCTTTATGTTGAATTTTCTCTTAAAAGATGGATTACAGCGATGCACACTTCAACTTACCACTTGACATGTCAGAGAACACAATTTTTAATGGGCCCTATGTCACACATTCACTTTTACTTGACAGCTGTTTTTTTATTCAGTCTTTATTAGTAACAAGTCAGAAATTGCTATTCAGAAGAATAATACAACTTTGGTTTCTGGCTTTATAACAAATTGGAAGTCCTCACTGTCATCCTCAAGATGAGAAAAAAGCTGAACAAATTGAAAATCAGCATGTATTAGATCCATCAGAGATCTGAGGTCACGGGGCAAACTGCCGCCCTTCAGACTAGAAAGATAAACAGGGGAGTACAGAGCAGCACAGTTTTCCAAGAGCAGAAGCCCTGGAGCAGTTGAAGCCAGTACCGAGGAGAACACTTCAAACTGTAGTTGAATTGCTGGAGGCTGTATGTGCATAAATATGAAAATGTAAAACTGAGGGTTTCCAGTCTTAGGAAGATTCCACCACACTTTTGCAAGCTTTACTTCCGGGAACCCTAACAACTACTCACTGTGAAGATCTGGGAAAACATTCCACTGGTGCTTCTGGCAGGGCTTGGGCAAAAAGGAACCATTTTGAAATATGCCCAGAGCTCTCTATTTTCCTTAATAAGACCTTCACTGAGGGGAACGATTTCAGCAAAGCCTCATGACTGGAGTTGTACCAAAGCCTAACCAACCTGGGAGAAGGCAAATGCTCAACTCCAGTTCCTGTGTAGCTTTTGAAACCATGGTGAAAGGGTTCGAACGAACTCAGGCTTACTAAAAGACTGAGATTGAATTATAGGACTAAGTGTTATTTCCCTCTTCCCACACCGTACCACCATATCAATATTGTATAATAGTGGATTGTAGCCAAAAGAATTGCAATCCTAAGATCCTGCTTGAAGAAGGGGTATCTGAAAAAAAAATCCAAGACAACAGACAAAATAATTAAAAAAAAAATTAAAATTCTAGCCTCTAACATTACAGGGACTGCAAACAGCAAATACACCTAACTCAGTCACATAAATAGAAAACCTCACACTAAATGCCTGTATACCTCAGTTTATTTTACTCTATACATCATGCCTGGCTTTCAACTAAAACTACAAAGTCATGTAAAAGGCAAAAAACACAGTCTGAAGAGACAAAGCAAGCATCAGAACCAGACCAAGATATGAAAATGATTTTGGAATTATCAGACTAGGAGTTTTAAAAACCTACAATTAATATACCAGTGGCTCTAATGGCAAAAGTGGATGACATGCCAGAATGGGCATTGTAAAAGAAAAAAGCAAAAGGAAATGCTAGAAATTGAGAAGAATGTTACAAAAATTATGAATGCCTTTGGTGGGCTCATAGGTAGCCTGACACATATCTTTCTAAGGCAGTGGCCCCAACTTTTTTGACACCAGGGACTGGTTTCATGGAAGACTTTTTTTTTTTTTTTCAGGCGGAATCTAGCTCTGCCACCAAGGCTGGACTGGAGTGATGCTATCTCCACTCACTGCAACCTCCATCTCCCGAGCCGAGTTCACGTGATTCTCCTGAGTAACTGGGATTACAGGTATGTGCCACCATGCCCGACTAATTTTTGTATTTTAATAGAGATGGGATTTCACCATATTGACCAGGCTGGTCTCGAACTCCTGACCTCAGGTGATCAGCTTGCCTCGGCCTCCCAAATAGCTGGGTTACAGGCGTGAGCCACCGAGACTGACTGAAGACAATTTTTTCATGTACCAGGGATTAAGGATGGTTTGGGGATGATTCAAGTGCATTTATTGTACATTTTATTTCTATTATTACACTGTAATATATAATGAAATAATTGTACAACTCACCATAATGTAGAATCAACGCGAGCCCTGAGCTTGCTTTCCTGCAGCTGGGCGGTCCCACCTGGGTGTGATGGGAGACAGTGACAGATCATTATGCATTAGATTCTCATAAGGAGCACACAACCTAGATCTCTCGCATGCTCAGTTCATAATAGAGTTTGAGCTCTTCTAAGAATGTAATGACACTGCTGATCTGAAAGGAGGCAGAGCTCAGACAGTAACGCAAGTGATGGGAAGCAGCGGTAAATACAGATGAAGCTTTGCTTGCTTACCCACCGCTCACCTCCTGCTGTGTGGCCTGGTTCCTAATAGGACATAGATTGTTACTGGTCTGTGACCCAGGGATTGGGGACCGCTGGTCTAATCTAAGATACTTGCTACTTTCTATGTATAATAGTAAATAACTGGCAAGCCACCGTTTGAACTTATAAGTCCATAACAATGGAAACAGTGTTAGGCATATAAACCAATGAAACAGCTTGAATACTTTTACAAGAGACCCACATAAAAATAGATAATTGATGTGTCTGAAGATTCCTACAATTTATGGAAAATAATTGTTTACTAAAGGTGAGGTTATTGGGAAAATACTACATTCAGATTTCTTAGGATGGATTTAAAATTTCCAAATTGATTAAATTCCCAAATGTGACAAGCAAAACTTTTAACCTTTGGAAGAAAGAAAAAAGAATACTTTTACTATGGCAGAGTAAGGATACAAAAATACAAATTACAAAAGAAATGTCTACCAATTACTATCTTTAATTAAAAAAAGATTTCTGCACAATGAGACTTCTTAAATAAAGTTAAAACGATAGAGTCTCATTGCTTTAAAAAATAATCAAAAGATTTGGTAATAGTTAAGTGTTGTCAAGGATAGGGAAGATGAAAACACTGCTCTACTGGAAGTAGAAGAAAGAATGAAAAAAAAAGTTACCAATGGCTCATACACCATGATGACATCTAAAGCAATAAAATGTATTGTTATAAATATATAGATATATAGTAAACAGTATATGAACATGCATGGGATGATACAGAATAATTAGTATTAGGTAGAGATTCACATAACCAATGATGGAAGGGGTAATAAGCTAAGGCACCATATGTTACATTTTCTGTCTATATTCTTAAAAAATATGTCAAAATATTAAGATTCTTAAAAATGTGGATGGAGATTGCACTGATGCTTTAAAAAAGTTGAATTTTTTCTGTTTATTTAACGTATTTAAATGGTTAAATGTTATTTTCTAAAGTTTCATTCTTACAAAAATATGACAAGCAAATTAAGCAAACAAAATGGTTCTTTGTTTTCTAGAGGGAGGATAAATACTTCTCATATAATACATATTTTTGTATAATCATGTACTGTATTCTAGGATGAGTCCTATTTGCTGGTGATGGGAAAATACCTAGCCAATTTGTCTTAAATGATCTCATAATTGATGGGGCAAGGTAGTAAACCAACAGTAAGTTGGGAGTATTATTGGAACACAAATAAGGGGTAACTACATATCCATTAATCAAAATAATTTATGAAAATATTTCATCACTACTTAGACTTAACATAAATTTTTAAATCCTTACTTACTTGACTAAGATGCAACATGACCTCAGTTCCCATGTTTCTAGGCATATCCACCCTTTCCACACAGTTCTCCTAAAAAGCCTCTATTATCCATTGGCATGTTTATTCATTTATTTATTTTTTCCCAGATGTATCAAGAGATACCAAAATGCTTCCCAGTTTGCAGCCATAATACATGCTATTCCTGCTGCCTGGAAGGACTTTTTCATATTTATTGATAAGCCAGCTCCTACTCATACTTACAGTCTATGTTGAAAGTGTATTTTTTCTAGAGAAAACACACTTTAGTATTCTGGCTATCTTAAATCCCTAGTTTATCCCCATTCATAATCTACATATTTCTCTTTTTAGTACTTAATATAACTGTAGCTTAAAAATAAGTTTGCTCACTATCTACCTTACTTGGTACATTGTGAGCTTAACGGAATAAGTAGCTCTATTTGTCCTGGACATTACTGCATAAGCAATACCTGATATGTAGTAAGAAAACTCAAGTTGTTTCCAATTATTTAATTAATATAACAAGAATAAATTAATTTTCTAAGCAGACTATTCATAAATCTATTCAAGCTGTTATTTTTAACAGTTTCAAGTGTTATCATTTCAAAATATAATAATGGGAATTCAAAAGATTCCTTAAGTATGCATAGCAGAACAATATGGCCAAGAAACATATTTGCATATTTGGCTAAGGTTGTAACTTAGTTTTAGATTATGTATGTCTCATTTTTTACCTGTTCCTGGACTTGAAGTGATATTAAGTTATCTTGGCCAGGTAGTTCCTGGGTTGCCTGAACCATCTCTTTCATAATAAGACTTACCTAGATAGAGATAGAATTGGAAGTTACAATGAATAAAATTAAAGTTACTATTTTAGTGTCTGTTATGAGGCTGACTACCTGCAAACTAAGGGTCCTCAGCAAAGGCCTTCCTGTACTCTCGATGTTGCACTCAATGGCCATGAGTCTTTTCTATGAAGGAGAGCAACGTCTGACCTGGATCTGTCATTCACTGTAAGTTATGCTTGCCTTTTAATCTCTCTGAGTTTCAATGCCTGCTATTTAATCTCTCTTTTTCCATTGTAAAATGGGAATAACAATAATAATGGTATTAATAATATTTCTTATATAATAAGTTTCTTAGCATTTCAAAGGTCCTTGATAAATAATGAATATTTATTTATGTTTTCTTTCAGGAGAAAAAAAAACTTATTTTCTTTGCAAGATCCACTATTTCAATAGTTGGCCATTACAGAAGTTCCTCTAAGATATCTGATTATTTTTCTTTTGGCTGTTTATAAGCTGTCAATGAGTTAAAGACATTTTAAATTACACAATTGGGAAGTTAATGGATACATAGACATTTTCTGGTTAGACCCTTCTACATACATGCAAAACATCAATTAGTAATTAATATACTATTATTATCTCCTTAAATATCACCTGACATTTTCTACATTTAAATAGGCAGATGGAATAAAATGAAAGGCTTTTCCTTTCCTACTATTTTACCTTATTTTCTTTCTCTTCTGCTTTCCCTCTTCTCTCCTTTCACTCTTTCTCCCTTTCTTCTTTACATGTAATAACTCCTTATAATCTCATTCTACAAGTATTATTAGAAATGTACTTGAGTACTTACGAGTGTTGTCTTGGATAGTTCATACTAGGAAATAAGTACACTCAGACCAAAGGGGAAATTTCCCAGAATGACTCAGTTATTATATTTGACATTGGAAAGATCTAATCATGCTGTTCCTCTTAGTCCATTAAAAAAATTACTCTTGATTTTCATCCATGTCTTAGTGAACTGTTTTGCTTAGGAGTAAATCATGAGCTTCACAGGACATTCCTGGAGTACAGTGGAATGGTTTTAAGTAGGGAGCATAATATAATTTGTATTTTAGAATTACTTCTTTGACAGCAATGTGGAGAATAAACTGACTGGGAACAAGAATAAAACTAGATGGATCAGAAAAGAGGCAGTTGGAGTAAACAAGGGGAGAAGTTATTAGTGCCTAAAATAAGACAATGGCAATTATCATGACCAGGATGATATAATTTGATATAATTTAAGTTAGACACAGAAGAAGCAGTCTTGAAGTTGTGCAAAAGGTCTGACTTTTCTTTGTAAAACAACCTATTGCATAATAACACGCCCTAGAAGTTATTCATACATAGTGATGATGAAATAGCTCAGGTTGTATCAGTTGTGTCATTTAAAAACAGATAAACAATCAAAAAGGAATATCTACTTATGATTACTATTTTTATTTCTAAAACCCTTTGTAAGAGAGTATTAAATTGAATCAATACTTATTTAAAATCTTCTTCTTGAAAGACACATAGCCTCTCCCAACACAATCTGTCTTTTCTTGTCATTTTTCCTAAAGATGTATAGTCTTTTTTTAGAAAATTAATATTTGCTGGTTATATTAAGTAAATGATTGAAGTAAGGGGCTCTATTTTTGCTCCAATAATACACCCACCTTACTGTTGGTTTACTACCTGGCCCCATCAACCAAGACCCTTTAAGACAAATTGGCTAAGTATCTTCCCATCACCAGCAAATAGGACTGTTCCTAGAATATAGTAAATGATTATACAAAAATGTGTATTAAATGAATAGTATTTATATTCCTTCTAGAAAACAATGAACCAACTTTTTTTCTGTATTTCCTTGTCATACTTGCAAACTGAAACTAGCAGAACATGAAGAAGCTAATAAGGATGAAACTTTGGAAAACAACATTTAACCATTTAAACATGTTAAATAAACAGAAAAGTATCCATCATGCAAAAAGCACCAGTACAATCCCCATTCATATTTTTAAGAATCTTAGTATTTTGCCATATTTTTAAAAATATGGACAGAAATAAAATGTAATATATGGCAAATATAGCTCCTTATACCATCCAGTTCACAACATACCAAAGAAGATAGCGAGCAAACATTTTTAAGCTACAATTATTTTATTCTCATTCGTTTCCTTATATATGTCATGATGTTCTTGGGTTACTCTACATAATTTTCTTTAAAACTCCTTTGTTTCACAGCAGAAAGTGACTGCCAGATTGTCTGCTTCTGTCCTCTGTGTCTACCTGGATCTGTGGAGGAGAAGTTTGGGCAGCTGGAAGAGCAAGTGATTCTAAGTCTTTTGGTACTAAGATCCATCTAATTAGTTTTTGTTATAACAGTCACCAATGACTTTATTCCAAAAAATTAACTTGAGAGTTTCTTGTCTTATGCAGAACAGGGAAATAAAAAGATGAAAAAGTCAAATAAACCTAAGATATATATATATATCTTTTATATATATATATATTTTTTGAGATGGAGTCTCGCTCCCTCGCCCAGGCTGGAGTGCAGTGGCACGATCTCGGCTCACTGCAAGCTCCACCTCCCAGGTTCATGCCATTCTCCTGCCTCAGTCTCCCGAGTATCTGGGACTACAGGTGCCCGCCTCCACCCGGCTAATTTTTTGTATTTTTAGTAGTGATGGAGTTTCACCATGTTAGCCAGAATGGTCTTGATCTCCTGACCTTGTGATCTGCCCGCCTTGATCTCCCAAAGTGCTGGGATTACAGGCGTGAGCCACCACGCCCTCCCAGTTTAATTACTTTGATAAAAGCTGGAAAAAAACAGAAGACATTTTCATTTTCATCAAGAGGATGCCTTGGAGTTGTGACCTTGAACTGCTTTTTTTTTCTTTCTTTCTTTCCTTTTTTTTAAATATAGCTGCTTAGAATTTTTTTTTTTTTTTTAAATGGGCCATAATTTACAGCTCAGGTATTAGGTGGTTCTGTATACTCTGGTGTTCAGAACCTGAGGTGTCTGTTTTACTGGCTGATGAACATTTATGAGGTTTCTATTACTTTTCTATCACAGAAAATACTGCCCCAAACAGTCTTGTGATGATATTGTCTTGTACTGTGAAGATGTAGAAAGGAAAATGCTGGATCGAATATGTATGCATAACTGATTCTAAGGGATACAGGAAAATAGCTGTCAGAATTTACAACAATGTTCAGTTCCACAAGCAATACACAAGCATTCCTGTTTCTCGTCACCTTAGCAAACAAGTATCAACTACCTTATTGCTGCTATGCAATGGGTTAAGTCTATCTTCTGAGTTTTAATTTTCCCTTCTCTAATGATGAAGAAAGTTGAGCATCTTTTTTCAGTATTTAAATAAGTATATGAGTTTCCTCTACCCATAATTGATCTTCAAATATTTTGCTGTTTTCTTCCCGACCCCCCAGCTCCTTTTTATCCTTCTTTCCTTTATTTCTTTCTTCCATTATTTTGTGTATTTCTTAATCAATTCTAGTTATTTTTTTAAAAAAGTAATTTCCACTTTTATTTTGTTTTGCATGTGTATGTTTGTTAGTCAGGTATATTGTGTAGTCCTGAGGTTTGGGGTATAGATGATACCATCCAATAGTAAGTGTAATAGCAAATAGGTAGCTTTTCAGCCCATGTTGCCCCCACTTTCTAGTCGTCTTTAGTGTCGATGGTTCCCATCTTTATGTTTACGTGTACTCAGTGCTTAGCTCCTACTTATAAGTGAGAATATGTAGTATTTGGTTTTTCCTCTCTTGCATTAAATTGCTTAGGATAATGGCCTCCAACTGTGTCTATGTTGCTGCAAAGGACATGTTTTCCTTCTTTTTTGTGGCTTCATAGTATTCTGCAGTGTATATGTACCACATGTTCCTTATAAAATCCACCACTGATAAGCACTTGGGTTAGTTCTATGGTTTTGCTATTGTGAATGGTTCCACAGTGAACATAGGAGTGCATCTGTCTTCTTGGTAGAACAACTTATTCACCCTTGGCTCTATATCCGGTAATGGGATTGTTGGGTTGGATGGTAGTTCTGTTTTTAGTTCTTTCAGAATTCTCTAAATAGCTTTCCACAGTGGCTAAGCTAATTTGCATTTCCACTAACAGTGTATAAGCATTTCCTTTTCTCTGTAGGTTACCAGCATCTATTGCTTTTTTGACTTTTTGATAATAGCCATTCTGAGGTGTGAGATGATGTTCCATTGTGGTTTTGATTTGCATTTCTCTGATGATTGGTGATTATGAACATTTTTTTCCTATGGTTGTTAGTTGCTTATATGTCTTTTTTTTGAGAGGTGTTTGTTCATGTCCTTTGCCCATTTTTTAACGGGGCTATTCTTTGCTTATTGTTTAAGTTCTCTATAGATACTGAATATTAGTCTTTTGTTGGATGCATAGTTTGTGAATATCTTCTCCCATTCTGTAGGTTGTCTGTTTGTTCTGTTCCACGTTTTCTTTGATATGCAGAAGCTTTTTAGTTTACTTAGAAACCTTTTGTCAATTTTTGTTTTTGTTGCAATCACTTCTGGGGACTTAACCATAAATTATTTCCTAAGGCTAATGTTGAGAAGAATGTGTCCTAGGCTTTCTTTGAGGATTTTTATAGTTTGAGGTCTTACACTTAAATCTTTAATCCATCGTTAGTTAATTTTTGTATATGGTGAAAGTTAAGTGTCCAGTTTCAATCTTCTGTGTGTGGCCAGCCAGTTATTCCAGTACCATTTATTGAACAAAGAGTCCTTTCTCTATTGCTTATTTTTGTCAACTTTACTGACGATCAGATGATTGTAGGTGTGCAGCTTTATTTCTGGGATCTCTTTTCTGTTCCATTAGTCTTTGTGTCTGTTTTTGTATTAGTCACTGTGCTCTTTTGATTACTGTGGTCTTATAGTATAGTTTGAAGTTGGGTAATGTGATGCCTCTGGCTTTGTTCTTTATTAAGAATGTTTACTATTTGCTTATGATATGTTGAAACCTTTTCCAGTTTGAAATATTTTTGGTATAGAGGATTACATATAATTATTTAATTTGTGTAAGATAAATTTACATTACCTTTATTTTTGTATAATAAAATTTAATGATATTTACTTTCACTAATTTTTTACATTTTATGTATACCAATTTGTATTCACCAAAGGATATGATTTATTTTAAAATTTTATTTGTGATG